TGTATGGATCACTTGGGTTGTTACCAACATCTGGTGAAAATTTCATGTCATTAGCACCTCTAGTAATATATTTACTGAGAAAAATGGTGATGTGTCCAATACTTATTTTACCCACTGTATTTAACTTGTGACTTAAATATTTAGTTTTGAGCTAAATATTTAGCTTGAAACTTAGCTAGCTCAATATTTAAGTTAAATGTTTAGGCGGCTAGCTAAATATTTAAGTTGCAACCTAAATATTTAGGTAGCTAGCTAAATATTTAAGTTGCAACCTAAATATTTAGGTAGTTAGCTAAATAGTTAAGTTTCAAGCTAAAGATGTAGCTCAAAACTAAATATATAAGTCACAAGTTAAATATTTAGCTTGTTAACTAAATGTTTAATTTGTAAGTTAAATATTTAATTTATAAACTATGACATTTATAAATGTATGAATCATTTGGTGAAAAACTGATTTTGAAAAATAAATCTGTTCTTTTTTTCTTATAAAAGGCTAAATAAAACAAAAATATTGGTGGCCATTTTTAACTGGGTAACTTTACAAATGGCACCCCATGCTGGGTTTCTGTTGTATTGAGAAAACAGAACATGTTCTGTGTTTTTTATTTTTAATAAAAATTCACACAAAACGTAATTTCGTAAATCATAAAATCCTAGAATTCCAAGGAATGTTTGAAGATAAACTCCCAGGAATAATCTGTTGATTCATAATCCAGACATGAGACACCATGCAGTTTTTTAACCTGAGATTATAGAGTTTACATTTCAAAATAAAAGCCCAACATAAAGTTCTTACTTGACGTAATATTTGACTCCGTCTGTGGTGAAGGCCTCCTCCCAGCCATAAGGCAGACCTGCAGGAACACAGCCAATTCAAACTTTCTCTTTGGAATCAGATTTTTAACGTCAGTTTTCTCCATTTATTCACCTTTTGGTTGTTCTTCAAGAAGCTCCACTTTTGTACAAACCAGTCGCTTCAGTAAGAGATTATTACAGAAGACTTTAGAGAAGAAAGCTGCAATAATGAACACTTTATGTTTTTCTCACTGATGGACCAATGTTTAACCTTCTTCATCAACATTTCTCTGATCAGATGCTGTAAAATTAATTTACTTGTCTGATAAAAGTAACCAGCTCACACCTGTTCCCTGATCCATCAGGAAGAAAAGTGTGTCAGTGTGTAAACTCTAAAAAGCTGACCTACTTCCTCTCAGACTCAGTTTTCCTCCTGATTATCTTGAAATGATAAAGGAGAGAATTACGTAACTCCGCCCACATCCATCGACCCACTGACTGCAGGAAATGTAGGTGAGGATGAACCGGTCGGTTCCACCTGTCAGCCATCTGAAATGTTCCAGATTCTAAACAGCTGGAAACCTTTGATCTGATTGGTTGTTTCCAGTTGGATCAGAACCTAAAAGATTAAAGATTTAATTAAAGATGGAACACTGAGGCTCCGCCCCTCACTTCACACCTAACCATTTTAATTTTTGGCAGTAAAAGGGTCCAAAGGATCTTTTTAAATCCCGAAACGTAGAACCAAGAAATACACTAATTCTGGTTTCCTTCGAAGTGTTGGTTTTTGACTTGTAATCTGAACCAGAACCAGAACTATCTGACCTGAGAAAAAGTCCTTGAAGAAACTAATCCTGAACTGTTTGTGGTTCTGTTTCAGGATGTTCTCTGTTCACTTTATGTCTCTGATCTTACAGTTCATAAAAACCTTTAGATGATTTAAATACAGAATCAAACATTTTGTTGTGTCTTTAGATAAGTAGGGACCAGTGAGACCAGGGGGCAAGACCCCAACTGTGGTTCATGAAACACCATCAGGAGTCTTCAGATGACTTTCCAGAAATCAAACAACATTTCAATATTAACAGTAGGCCTAAAACATAAAAGCAGCACTGTTGGCTGGTGAAGATAGTTTATCTTTATCTGTCAAATTTGCAACAATGTGGCAGGATGGGATCCTGTCCTGGGGTCCTGTAGAGATTACATGTTCTCCCTGTACACGGGTGAGTTTCCTCAGGTTCTCGGTTTTATTCATAGGTGACTCCAACCGTACCAGAGTGAGTGGGTGAATGCTTGTTTGTCTCTATGTGTCCCTGTGATGGACAGAGACCTGTCCAGGTGTCCCCAGATATGGACACAGTGACTGCTGGACATGGACACCAGTGACCCAGAAAGGAAGACGTGGGTAAAGAAAGTGGATGTATGTATGTATGGATGGATGGATAGACAGAATGAATGGATAGACAGATGAATGGACGGACGATGGATGGATGGATGGATGGATGGATGGATGGATGGATAGATGGAAGGACAGATGGGTGATGGATGGATGGATGGACAAAATAATGGATGGATGGATGGATGGATGGATAGATGGATGGACAGAATGAATGGATAGACAGATGGATGGATGGACGATGGATGGATGGATGGATGGATGGATAGACAGATGGACGATGGATGGATGGTTGGAAAGATAGATATGAGGAAGAATGGATGAATAGGTGATGAATGATAGACAGATGGATGTTGGATGGATGAACATAAAGATGGTTGGATGGACATAAGGATGGTTGGATGGACATATGGATGGATGGATGGATGGATGGACATAAGGATGTTGGATGGATGGATGGATGGATGGACATAAGGATGGTTGGATGGATGGATGGACATAAGGATGGTTGGATGGATGGACATAAGGATGGATAGATGGTTGGATGGACATAAGGATGGATGATGGATGGATGGACATAAGGATGGATGGATGGATGGATGGATGGATGGATGGACATAAGGATGGTTGGATGGACATAAGGATGGATGATGGATGGATGGATGGATGATGGATAGACAGATGGATGGATGCATGGTTGGATGATGGATGGATGGATGATGGATAGATGGATGGATGGACAGATGGATGGATGCATGGTTGGATGCGTGGTTGGATGGATGAATGTTTATTTGTGCTCTTAGTGAAGTTAATGTCCTTCAGCCGGAGCCAGTGGGTTTCAGGTTTCTGCTGGTCTTTACTGGTCTAACAAAGGTTAAAGAACAAATCTGCTGGGCCCTTCAGCTCAGATAAAAGAAAGATATAAACTCTAAACTGAAACTTTTTTTGTCTCAAACTAAGCTGCTTGTCCAACAGCTGAAGCATCAGAAGACACTTTTCAAACCAAAATATTTTATTTGATGGTATCAATCACAGCCCAGCTGGTCAAACAGAGAAACTCTGACCGTGTTTTACAGAGCAGCAGCGTTGCAGAACTGATCCTGGTTCCAGTCTGAACCAGACCTTTTCCTCTGGAAGGGAACAAACAGCTGATAACTCCAAACAGAAGCAGGCGGGTTCATCAGAACTGAGTTAACAGAACCTAGAACTATCTGTCCTGGTTTTGGTGCTGGGTTTCTCCTCCTGTTCTGTTCGATGATGATGATGATGATGATGCTTTGTTTTGGTTTTACTGGCTAATCTACAGCATGAACACAAGCCTCTCAAACACAGAGCTAAATAGAAAGCTACAGGAAGTTGGAGTCTGAACTCGTCGAGGATCAGCTGACCTAATTTTACTGAAGTTTCTACTCATCTGTGGTGATGACGGTAGTTATTGATATGGAGACAAAAACGGGTCAAGTTAGAGGAAAAACCTATGCTGCAGGAGTTTCACCCATTGATCACCAAACTAGTTCACTTGTTGAGAATCACCTTCTTACATCTAATATTGTATTTTCTGTCAAGCTAGATTATTTTGGGAGTTTTTTGATAAATTCATCAAAATAAATGGGAACAGATTGTTTTGAGACAAAAGCCTAAAGATCCAAATTAACCTTGAAATTGTTAAATGTTGACACAACCACCCTTTACTGGGTGAAAGATTCAGCTCCACCCCTTTTTAGCTATAAAACAATGCACCACCCCTTTTGGGGTTAAAACAAAGCTTCACCTATCTTTGGGTTAAAACAATGCCACACCACTTTTAGGGTGAAAACAAAGCCCCGCCCCTTTTTAGCTAAGAACAATGCACCACACTTTTCTGGGTAAAAACAATGCCACACCACTTTTAGGGTGAAAACAAAGCCCTGCCCCTTTTTGGGTGTAAAAGAAGCCCCGCCCCTTTTTAGCTAATAACAATGCACCACCCTTTTCTGAGTAAAAACAATGCCACACCTCTTTTAGGGTGAAGACAAAGCCCTACCCCTTTTTGGGTGTAAATGAAGCTCCACCGCTTTTTGGGAGTAAACGTTGCCCACCCTTTTTTAGGGACTTAATTTTTTTAAGCTGCTTTTTTCTCTTTGCCACTTGCAGTTTTACATAATTTGTTTGTTTGAAGATAAACAAATTTACTCAACTTCATGACGAAGTACAGAAACTGGATTTAAACTAAGAAAAAATGTAGTTACAATAAAACAAATCCTCTAAAAGACCTTCATACAGTCTAGAGAACTTCTGTTAAAGACCACTTTAAAATAGAGGAAATTCTTTTCACCTGGAGAGAAAATCTAAAGAAATGAGGCTGAGGAGTTTAAAGAAAGCTACATTTCATAAAGAATCAAACTAATTTAAAAATATTAGGAAAAGTTGTAGTTTTAGGAACAAATCAAATATTTCAGAGATTTTGTCACATATTTTTAGCAAAACACACGTCACTCTCAGAAAACCCATTTTTAAAATATAAATGGATAAATTTTCTGATAAAAATATAATATTTGGCTTATTGCTGATTGATTTGGTGCCATTTTTCCGATCACATGTTACAGTGAGATCAATGGGCCAGACTTGGAAACATTCACGTCGTTCATCAGTTTCTGCGAAATCTCTTCCCGTGTGGTGAACAACCTGCTGGTTATCTGTCGCTTCCAGGTTGGAACTGCGGATCACAGCAGCGGTGTGGAAGACGCTCGGCGGCCGAAACAAACAGGTTCATGCAGGTTTTACAGTTCGGTTGGTGAGCAGGAGGTGAAGAGACGAGGAGGAGCGGGGGGGGGAGAGTTCTGATGCTCGGTGGGCATCCGGCCGGCGCCTGGCGGACTTTGGTCGTCTAGAAGGTCAGCACTGAAATGGGGAGGAGAGTCGCTCACAGCTTCATCCAGAGGGAGCAGCATGCAGGAAGAGGAGGAAGAGGAGGAGGACGAAGAGGAGCGGGCCTCTCACTTACAGTCGACCTCCAGGACGGCTCTGACGGACCGGGTCAGCTCCTTGGCCTCCTGGGCCAGCGAGGCCGCCGTCCACAGACTCTTCTTGAAGCGAGGAGGAAGGCCGTGCGCCGACGAGCCGACTTTAACATCTCCGGAGCTGAAAACAGGAAGAGGCGGAGTCAGAGGAAGACAAAGTGTGTGTTGGGATGACTCTCAGCTACTACCAACTACAGTTTGAACTCAATATCTGTAGAAATAACTGAGTTTAAGTTATTTCTGTGTTTGCTAAGGGCGATTAAATTAGGTTGATCCCAAAAGTTAACCAATGGTCGACAAAAATCCAACAAGTTTTACTCAAATCTGTACAGTGGTTCATGAAATATTATACTTTACTGTATTTTCTGAGCAGGTTCTGCCTWTGTTAGCATGTTAGCATGTTTGTGTGATGTTTTGATGATTTCAGTTTTTCTGTTCTGGTGATGAGTCATTCAGAAAAGTCATTAAATGATCAGGAACAGCTCATTTCTTTCAGACAAAGAGGAACAAAGCTCGATGGTTTCCACTGATCAGACAGAAGACATTTCCTCCAAAGTGTGGCCTAGAAACAGACAAACAGGTGAGTAAAAATAAAACCAGGTCCAGCTGGGTGGGTGGGTGGTGGGTGCTGATGGGAGGAGGTGGGGGGCTCCAGCAGCAGTTATGAAAGCAGAGGTGTCCCACTGACCTGCTGGGAAATAAAAGGAAGCTGGCATGAGGCGTCGTGCATGGATGACTTCATAACATGACCAAGTAACCGGATTTCCAGCTTACACAAGCTGCAGATGGAGMTGATAACGTGGGATTAAACCATCAACAAAGAAGAAACACGATGACCACAAGGAGCAAAGACCAGAAACTGACCAGGAAACACGAAGGAAGCGAGTGAAAGAAACTAATGTAATGATAAAAGATAAAATGAAAACAAATAAAAACACAAATCAATAATAAAAGGAGAGTAAAAAACAAAAAAATAAGTTAGAGAATAAAAGAAAAAAGAAGATAAAAAAGACATTGGAAAGATGAAGAGATTTCTGTCCTCCATCAGACATATCTCTGTCCTCCATCAGATATGTCTTTGTCCTCCATCAGATATGTCTTTGTCCTCCATCAGATATGTCTTTGTCTTGCATCAAACAAGTCTATGTCCTCCATCAGACATGTCTTTGTCTTCCATCAGACACGTTTCTGTCCTCCATCAGACAAGTCACTGTCTTCCATCAGACATATCTCTGTCCTCCATCAGATATGTCTTTGTCTTGCATCAAACAAGTCTATGTTCTCCATCAGACATGTCTCTCTTCCATCAGACATATCTCTGTCCTCCATCAGATATGTCTTTGTCTTGCATCAAACAAGTCTAT